TATTTGGAAAAGTGATAAAGCTTTAATTTTAACAGATTCGTTGAAAAATTTCCTTCTCTGGATCAAAATTAGACCACTTTCATGCCACCACCGACTGTGATTTTTGAAATTGCACCCCCAATGTTGCCTTAAAAAACATGGTATTTTAAAGTTATACTTATGGGAACTGACATCCGATTGATGACCTTGACAAGTCTCGCGTCACTTTACAAATAGACCAATCTACATTGATCGATTCTCTTCTGTGACTCACTCTTTTGTTGATAACTTGGCTGCACGCATATTTCGGACAAAATTTTCTACATAGTCTTTTAACAGAAACTATTACTAAGCATATCATATAGATTATAATAACAGCTGACATGTTTTTGGAGCCGAGTTATAAACGAAAAAGAGACAGAGTCGATGAAGAGAATCGGTCAATGTAGATTGGTCAATTTGAAAGTATAACGCGAGAAGTGTCCAGAAATACTCTTTGACAAATTTGTGGTGATCCTGTAAAGGATCGTTTTGTCGTGATGGTTGAGTAATGCTTAGCTATTAAGGTGCTCAACACAGATGAAGCTGGCGAGCTGAATGTTGTTTGGAACGGTGACGCACTTGGCCCAGAGCGACTTACGCCAAGCAACTGAAATCCGATCAGTAGCGGTGCAACTTCTTCCTCCTTCTTTGGCGAATGGACCGCTCTGTGGGCTGCAACTCGCGCTTGCGGGCAGCCTTTCATCGTGTACTGGAGAAAAATTTACAACGCCACGCGCCGAAAGGACTGCTGCTGTTGCTGATGATGACCACTGGACACCACCAGGAATGAATTCAATTTTTAAAACTGTGTTAGGGAAAGCGTTTTTCGCAGTCAATCGGTGATAATTTTCTCTGTTATAGCAATAGTTGCACATTCATGCAATTTTCAAAAGGGACCTTTTGAAAATTGATAAAGTGTTCATTAGAGCAGATTCGTAGATGACATTCCAATCGATTGCCTTGTTTAGAATTAATATACATCCGCTATTGACAGAGTTATAAGTGGTCAAATCCTGACCACTTTTCGTAACGCGGTCGATTTTGGTTTTTTGAAATTGCAATATGTTGCCGGAAGACGTAATCCTACGTAAAAAAATTTGTTGAAGACGTTGAAACCGGCAGTGCATTTTTATGTCAAGATTTAGTTGATTGTGTAAAACTACAGCAGTAAATCTAGTACTCTAACTAACCATGTTTGTATTAATTGTATTGTATTGTTTACGATTTACATAATTTGAGGTGCTTAACGTCATATATCAGTCATTTTAAAACGATAGATGAGGCGATGATAGTAAAGAGTTGATAGTTTCGTTAGAGTACGGCAGTTTGTAAATAGTATATAGAGAGTAATAAGCGAGCAACGGTCAATTTTAAGGAAGGCACGAATCGGATTCATCATCTCCTTTTCCAAACTCCCTGTTGGGGAGGGATGGTGAGGAGTATCTCTCCCCGCCACCACTGGCAAAAGAGATGATCGCCAATTTGCTCACGTACCTTTGATGTTCAGAAACAGTTTTATCGATTGTTTCACACCCAAGTCGTCATTTGACGTTAGCATCTAGTCGATAGGTTTGGAAATTGCCGCTATTGTTGCCTGGAGTTCAGCACAGTGCTGTTAATTTTCATTTAATTAGATTGAAGATGAACCAATCCAATAATTCATTCAATTCAGTGCATTACATTTTCTTATGCCCATTATGTGAAGAACCACTTTTTCAAACGAACCTCATCGTTGTTGTCAATTAATATACGGCAGTGGAGTGTGGAAGAAAGTCTGAAAAAAATCCCCGTACAGACATGTCGATACAATGTCGGATTAATATCCGATGTCGGGTCAATATAAGACCAATTTAAGGTATATGTCGGCCCAATGTCGCGTTGACGCCAGGTCAATTTTAGATTTATATCGGGTCAACATCGGGATGAGGTCTGGTAGAAGTCAGGTTGGTGTCGGGTTGGCTTAGCTTTTTCGCTGGAATGTTGACCAGAGGTCCGTTTTTGTGTAGGTTGGACTCAATTGAATCATTTTTTTTCCCTTTATATGTTTTCCGTCAATATTGTTTTCCGTATTGTGTTACCGCTACCGACGTCAGAGAGGCAGCTCCCACGCCTGAACCCATCACATCAACTCATGGGACCGAGGACTAACGGTTTTACTCCCCTTTAGAAGGAAGGCGTTATCAGGGATTTTATGCCACAGAAAACCCCGACGGCACCGACTGAGATTGAACACAGGTGCTTTTGAGTGAGAGGCAGTTACGCTTACCACTACACCACCGGCGTCGCTGAATTGAATGATATCAAGTGTTTCTTAGCAAACTGATATCACCCATTCGAATGAGGCCCCTATGATAGCATATAGCGGTTTTTTTTCATTTTCATCAAATATGTTTAATTGATTTTGAGAATTTACAGAACTGGTTCTTTCTCCATACAATTTGATTTACCACTCTGCATTTTCACGGCCCACGCATGGTGCTCTACTTAACGTACAATGTTCAAATTAAATCTTCTTGTTTGTTGAAGATAAGCAAGCATTGGGTTAAATTTTCAGATCTATATGACTTCTGGATGGCGAAATTAGTGCCAGTGAAAACGCGAAGTTGAGGGATTTCGTGAACCTTGTCCTTAAATAACCCGTGTACCACTAGTATTGGATCTTTTAATATGTTTCAAGATCAAAACCTCTAAAACATTTAACAATTTTAACAGGGTTTACCCACCGTGCTGAGCTCTAAGATCAGCCAAATATATTTAATAAATTCGACCAATGGACCACTTAAATATCTTCCTTTCTTGGGTCGGTGAACATTGTTACATTGATCAATTTAATCCTAGATAATGTCAATGTTATACTTTGTTTACCCGGCGAGCATTCTTCAACCCGGTAAATCTCGGCAACAGTTACATTATCCACAAAGTTTCCGGATTTCCCATTTAATGTTTCCCACCAATCGATCAGGGTGCGTAGGTACAAACACTGCACCACCATAGCTCTTCTTACGAACAACCAAACTTTCCCCCCCCCCCCCCCAAGCTCCGGAATAAATCACGAAACGGAACACTCTGTTTCCTTTCATGTGCCGACGCGTTCCGTTGATGCTTATCAAATTGACCGAGAACTTGACTGCCTGTCCCCCGGGCTTTATCGCTTGCTCCACGAACCACCCTTGAAATTACTCACCCCTCCTCTTTGAGAAAGAAAAAAAAAAGCAAAGGGGAAGACAGTCCATAATGTAACCCTGGGGCAAAATGGGCCAACGCGATGTTGCATAGCTTTCCCTTTTCTTAATTCGTAAAATTTGACGAGCGGCATTGGTTGTTCAGTACTAAGATCATAGAACCCCAGAATTAGAAATGGGAAGCAATGAAAAATCGCGTGGGGACATTTTACCTCAGGGGTACATTATGGACTGTTTTCCTCTACATAGGTACTACCGTAATGCTTCCAATGCCGGACAGTCAATCCGGACATTTAATTTTGTATTAATTAGTACGTCTACTTTGCAACATAGTAAACATGTGTTCTGAGCTAAGTATTCATAATCAACTTTTAAAAGTGTCCGGATTGATGGACTAAGTGTCCGGATTTCGGTGAATTACAGTATAAGGTGCAAAAGTTTTACTTGCCTTCCTGAGACTGCTTGGAGGTAGGAGGTAGGTATGTAGGACTGCTTGGAGGTAGGAGGTAGGTATGTATAGAGTGCAAGCAATATTCCTTTTTGCTGTCTCTAGATCAACCCAACCACCTTCTTCCAACGGTGACAGGAGATGGAGGATTCTTTTCAACTTATACTGATTTTATTTTATCAATGGCCTGTTTACATATACGCTGGTTCAATAGCTCAACCAGCTCCAACCAACTAGCTCGAAATTCAGTTGTTCCTGATGGTAGATGCTGACACCCTGTTTACATTCTGCTGGCTACTTTTTAGTACAGTTGTAGTACACTAGCGCTAGCACACCAGCACAGAAGTAAACACCATGGGTTTGCGAACGACAACCTCACCAGAACGATAAATAGCACAAATATAAGCATCCCATTTCACTTGTGCGGATTCACGTGCTGGTGAGCATGTCGTTCTCAAATCCATTGTTAATAGCATGATGTAAACATTTTTGCACATGAACATCAGCACAAGTGTAAACACCCCATAAGGCATTTCTTGCGTTTTGTGTTCGAAGATGTTTTCTTTTTCTTTTCTTCACTGGGTTAGCTAAAAACAAATTTTTGCGTTTTTTAGACAATGGTAAGGTCGGGAATCGGAGAAGCAATTTTGGTCCGTTATTTTTCGTTCATTGCTGTTTTCATTTTCGTTATTGGAGTATATGTAGTTTTATCATCCCGGAAGCAGAGGGCATATTTTTTAGGGATGAAGTTCGAGACGGCATTGTGCGAAAATTTCGCCATCCTTTGTGAATAAAAAGCAAATGTTTGCATGAGAGTAGAACTTTTCGCGTTGTTTGTATTGTGGATGAGTTTCCGTTTTACTCATACCAAGAATTTCAAGTCATTTGATAGAACGAGAGATATGGTGAACCAACGCTGGGAACATTTCATTACCGTTTCTTGTTCATCACCCACAACCATAACTCCACAGCCACCAAAGTAGTTAACATGATTCACCCTTTACCAAACTCGATAATCGCTGCAATCAAACAGTGGGATCCGTAACAGCTGTCGTAAAAATTCTATTAACATCTTATCGTCAAGTCGGAAGCACCATGCTTGGCAAACACAAACACAGAATTTATCCTCCTAGCATGAGATGAATCGTTCATCGATATCGACAAGTAAAGCTACTTCGGCCGGTCAATGCATGCATGGTGTAGTTGTTGTGCTGCTACGAAAAGTGTGAAAGAAGAAAAGAAAAATAAGAAAAAGCAACGACAAAAAAGCCAATCTGCGACGACGGAGTGAGCCAGCAGAGAACCGAGCATCCTCCGTCCGTCCGTCATCGGTGGCCAGCAACAGTGACATGTTGTGTTTCAATTTGAAAATAGCCACCATCTTCCGGACCTACCGGGAGTCGGATCCGGTCCGTGACCGGAGCCAGAGTTTGTTTACGCCTCCTCCCCGGGCGCCCCATCGGGATATCGGTGCGCTTCGGGGGCTGCAGCGGCGGGCGTCCAGCGTGATGTAAGTTGATTTCGATGTTACATCCTGTAATGTGCCATTTTCCATATGCTTGATGACCTCTATTGAGTTTACAAGTTTTTCATCGGTTCATACATCAATGAATATTATGAATATTTCAAATATTTAGCAGAAGCTGGAACCCAAAAGCAATGGAAACATATCATGTTGAATATTATCACTGAATCGATTAAGTAATCCATATCACATACAAGCAGCTTTTAACTACGGTTATTGCTTTAGCAAAACATTTCACGTCAACTTCCTTGCTAAACGTTACTTTGTTTTTTAGCAGAGTTAGAATAAAATGAGTGCTTCTGGTTTGATGGTTGAAAATTGAATGATGGTTTATTAAGTCTAATGGTCTGTATAGAGATCGAAGCGAAGCTAAAATCTCATACAAAATACTACATTTTTCACCTGCGTGAAAAATACTATTGGCAAATATTTCACTTCATTTTGAACTGTAAACAGATACTATCCAACGTAATCAATGTGGATCGCATCTTTTTGACGTAGAACTACGTCTTTGTCGACTATACTGGGGTACAAATAAAAAAATTTGTGGGGTGAAATAGTGTTAGGTTTTGAACGCCTGTAACTTTGTCATCTATATAGATGAAAATAAAATCCAAATACGCCAATCGATAGGATATTACATTACTAATCAGCTGAAATAAGTATTTTTTCAAATTAAAAATTTTCAACAAGATCGGCAGAAAACAAATCACGAAAAAAAAAACTGAACCATAACCGAAACATTGAAATACTTGAAAAATTTAAGATAAAGTAAAATAGTCGAAAATGCATGATATTGTGTGGTTCTACGTCATAAGGCTTATACTCGAAAAAAATGCACCTGACAAAAGTGTTCGCCAAAAATTTATTTTTGGTCGGATTTTCCTGAAACTTTCAGAGAATGAACTAATACATATGAATTATGTTTCGGCATAATTATTTAATTTAATTTCCTTTCCATCGCTGAAAGCCCGCACCTTTCCCTGAAGACCCCTCATTACATTTTGTGCAATGGTGGAGCCGACCTTTTTGGTCACTTTCATCCATTCTTTCTTCAACTCCAGCTCGTTCTTAAACACCTTGGACGATTTTCGAACGTTGGCCTTCATTATGGCCCAAAATCTTTGCACCGGATGAATCTTTGGTGAATTTAGGGGGTTGGCGGTTGTTGGTACAAAAATAACGTTATTGTCTCTGTACCAATCCAACGTCGATCGCGCGTAATGGCATGATGCCAGGTCCGGCCAAAATAATGTCTCGCGTCCGTGGGACCGCAGGAAGGGCAACATACGCTTCTGGAGGCACTCGGTGCGATAAATTTCGCTGTTGATGGTACCCATTGTGATGTACGGTTTACTCAGTTTACCGCATTGGCATATGGCCTGCCAGAGCAAGTATTTTTTGGCGAATTTGTTCACTTTCTTCTCTCTTATGTCTTCCGGAACATCAAACCGTGATTTGGCAACGTAGAACTCCAGCCCCGGTATCTGCTTTTTGTCTGCCTTGATGTAGGTTTCGTCATCCATAACCACACACATCGGTTTCGTTAACCACTCTCGATACAGCTTCCTTGCGCGGGATTTGGCCACCGTGTTTTGTTGATCACGCCGGTTCGGTGCCTTCCGGATCTTGAATACACGAAGCCCAGCTCGTTTCATGGTTTGCTAAACGAACCAGGCGGAACACTTTGCCTTCAGAGCCGCGTCGCGAATCGAAAGGTTCAGATTACGCTTGAAATAATCCAACACCTTCCGGGCCTTCACAGGGTCAGCTGTCTTCGATTTTCTTTTTTTTCCAGCCCGCCACTCGGTCGTCTGGGACTCCTTAAACGATTTTACCACCCGAGACACAGTTGTATGGGTGATTCCCAGTTGTCTTCCGATCCATCTCATGGTCGCAGTCGGATTTTCCATGACGGCGCGCAAAATTCTCCGGCTTCTTGTTTCGATGACATCTCAATAACCACTGAACCGATTGTTATGAAATTTTGCACATGTAAACAATTCAATCAAAACTAGTTATACTCAGATTTTCATCAATTTTTACCCACGGATAAAAAAGTTACACACGTATAAAAATGGTGCATTTTTTCGAGTACAATCCTTACTGCGGTCGTGTATAGGACACAACCCTTTATTTATTTTTGCGAATATAACAGCAGCTAAGCAAAAAGTTGACGTTTCGAGAAAGAGCGTATCTGTCACATTTTCATTTCACCGGAGGTGTAGACTGATCGATTTCGTTTCACATGAACTGTAGACTGCGAAATAAGGAAACTGGAAACTGTTCCATAAACATTTTTTCACAACCTTTTTCGCAAGTAAAGTTTAATGATTTTTCGCGTGCTTCAAAATTTGTTTCGCTTTGATCTGTATACTAGGCTTAAACAACTTAGGTAGCTAAGAACAGTCGTGTAGCTAAGGGTAGTCGCGAGTTACTACACCTCACTCCTCCCTAATCCGTGACGTCTATGAAGCGACAAAACTTCTACTGGTTCGGCGTCGTCATCGGTTTGCTGAACCCATCTGCCGGTTGGTTTGAAGTGGAGGTGTAATCAATATTTACCACTTCGTTCCTTAAACTCTCGTGCACGAAATGATGGCGTATGCTAACGTGCTTAGTACGGGGGTTATAGGATCCGTTGTTTGCGATGTTGATTGCTGACTGGTTGTCGAAGAACATCGGATCCGGCTCAGCGTAGGTGCATTCTGACCGCAGTTTTCTCCACCACATGGCTTCTTGAATGCTTCGTGAAAGTGCCATGTAGGATAGGAAACTACTTTGGACTAATCGCCCATTTTGGGCCTATCGAGCAGAAAACATCAAATAAATCCATGATTTCAGCGTTAACAAGTCAATAGTAATGCCTTTGGTACGAAACTATAGTTCAAAAGCTACCGAGTGAAGTCAATTAGAACGCGTGGCATGAATGCTTGCACCCATTATTCTCAAAAACAAAAGAAGCACTCCGACTGAATCAATTGTTATCTTCATCCAGTAGGTCGAAGTGAACTCAACGGCGTTTCATTGTCGTTTCAATGCGTTAGGCCGAGTTTAGAATATGGATTCATTGTGTGCATTTGTGCATTTTTACTGAACATTTCAGCTGATTTCATGGTACTTATTAACCTTTCTACAGCAGCTTTTCCGATGATATATGGTAATATTACACTTCAAAATGGTGCAAAGCGGTGCATACTAAGGAGCATTTTCAAATGCTTAATGTACAGTTTTCTCTATTTTAGGGAGCGTACTTTAAATATTTACTGAGCATTTAAAGATTTTTAACGTATTTTGATCAATCATTTAAGGAGCAACCCGACCTATTTTAAGGAGATTTTTTTTACTTATTAAGGAACATCGTCATTGTTTAATGATTCATTTACCTTTTTATCATTTTGATGCCCGATCTAGGTTGGAAATGAATCAAAAACAAATTCGCTATAACGTACTATTTTCTACGACTTCTTCTTCTTCATCATTATTGGTTACGTTTAATCAGGGCATTCAATAGGTACTAGGAACTCTTTCGTGAATAACCCTATGAATTCAACAGCTTGAACATCTTGAACACATCCTGTGCTGAAATAGTGTGCATCTTCGTAGATCAATACCATGGCACGGCTGATCTCGAACTTGTTGCTCTCCGGACAATAAACGCGGTATCCTTTCGTGTCCTCGCAATAGCCTACGAATATACCTTTTGCTGCTTTTGGATCGAATTTCTTACGCTTGACCTTCGGAATATGGAACATCACTCTTGTACCGAAAACTAAATTCCGACCCGCGCAAGTTTTTGTTTAATGATCGGAAATGTAAAATACTTGGAATCAAACTAGGTACATCATTCGGAAAAATTCATGCTATTTTCTGTGATATATAGCGCACACGAAATTTCTTGTAAATCTAGGCGCGATACCGCATAAAGTCTAAAAGACTCTTAACCAAAATAAATTCGAATTAAAGCAGCCAAAACATTACTTCTCCATCTTTTCAGAGCATATAACAGAATTCTAGGGGTTATATTTAAGGACCACCAGAGAATAAAAATGTGTTTACAAACATACAAAATTTTAACCGAGGCACCATTGTATTTGCAAAATGTTTTTGTTTAATTGAGGTCCTCCCCGGTCTATGGATTTGATGGTCTCTCGGAATAGAACGGACGTATTAAATAACTTGTTTTGTCAACGTGCTGTAATTTCATGCAACTACCTTCTTATTGACTGTAAACGTGCTTCTTCGTATTCTGCCTTTAAAAGATTGTGTAGTCAATATTGCTGTTCATGGAATGTAATGGAATATTGATAAGAACCTTCTTTATCAAACTATGGTGGTGGTTATGAAAAGAGAAAGTCGATGAAGAGAATCGATCGAAGCAGATAGGACCATTTGAAATGTTCATCGAGATATACAGTGTATCTCAGAATTGATCGTACATCCTAGAACACAATTTTTTGAAACATTTTGAATAGATATATTTTTTTAATCGTGGCTGGTGGTTGAACAGATGTTAATTGATTTATTGCTATAGTTTTGGGCTTTATTGGAAGAGCCTGTATGAAGTTAGATTTATTTTTGTAAAACACTAGATTTTCAACTTTTTACCTAGTGGGCTCATTTTAGTCAAATTAGTGGTATATGAATGATCCTTCTTCTTCTTCCTCGCATTTCAAGCTTATTGCGTATGGCATTGTGCTTTTAGAGCCGTTTTCCTAAAAATTAAATACAGCTGTGTGATCAATTTTGAGATACGTTGTAAATTACTTTGCTTCGATTTTATATAAATGAATAAAAAAAAAATACATTAAATAATATAAAAATGATGTATACTAATTGAAAACAACTTTATTGTTGATGCCAGCTACACGGCCATTCAATCTCACTCAGAGAGAAAATAACTTCTACTCAGATGAAAGAGAAATGTCTAAAAACGCTCTCAGCGCTGACTAACCTACATTTTTAGAAATTTCTCTTTCATCTGA